CTTTCTGTTAATTTCAGGTTATCATTACGGAACGTGAGGTCGATGAGAATTAGCGTTCCCGATTTCCACGAATTTTATGCTAATAGTTGAATGTTTCGCTGTGTTTTGTATGCTCTGATAGCAAATTTCGTGCTCTATAACACTGCGGTGCAGTTATTTTGAAAATCCGTTTGATTTCCTTGTTTTTCAGGTTGGTAATATGGAATGTATGGATTTTTACCGAGAAGGCATTGAACAGCTGGCTGATCGGTGGGAGGAGGTTGTAAGAAACAATGGGGAATATATCATTGACTAGTTTATTGTAAACATCTATATTTTTTATAGTGTTGTAAATACTGTGTTTGAAATTTACTAAGGAAAACAAAAAAAAATCGTGAGGTATGGGTCGACCGGATGTCTGCAAGGTCAACGTTGTCGGTTGTGCTTTTTTCCAGAATCAATTGTGAGCCGTCCTAATACTAATCTGTTACTCTACTTACTCAAACCATGGCGATTCTATTGAGCTGCTCTAGGAGCTTTGAAGCTTCCGTGGACAGCGGTAGGGAGAGGAAGTCGGGAACGCTAATTCTCATCGACCTCACGTTCCGTAATGATAACCTGAAATTAACAGAAAGTAAACAGCTCTGGAGAAATTGCAGTGTTATAGAGCACGAAATTTGCTATCAGAACATGCAAAACATATCAGCGAAACATTCAAATATTAGCATAAAATTTCAGGTGGAACAGACGTGAGCCTGCCCAATATCGGCGAGGTGAAGGTTGGCAACTTTGAAATTCTTGAAATTCGTTCCAAAGCGTCCTATTGAGATTCCCTTGCTGAGACTTCTAGCTCAACCTTTTCCAAATGTATGGAGCAGCTTAAGCGATTTTAGCACTTCGAGTAGACGTAAATAGAGGCAGTTGTCGAAGGTGCTAATTTTCGCCGACTTCACTTTCAACTTCAACGACTAAAAAATTCACAAAAACTATTCCCTCAACCGAAGCAGTTTTGATAAGCTTGCTTGCAAAACATTTCACTTTGGGAACAAAATTTTCAATTGAAAAAAACGCCATTACTTATGTGCCAACCCAGTAGTAGTACTTCGCACGCACGACAACACGTGAAATTCTTGAAATTTTCTGCTCCCTCCTCCATTAGAGAGTCATGTACCAGCTAAATTTGGTCACTATTTACCTTTTACTGCCCCAATCTTCCAAGAACAGGCCAGTTTTTAACGACTTTTTTCTGAGTTGGCAGAACTGGCTAGAAACTCGTTTCGGGTGGTTTGACCTCCTGAACATGAATATCACATCCGCTCGGCACGAAACCTCCTGCGCCCGCGCCAAATTACCCTGAATCACCAATCGCTGAAAACTTGTTCCCAGGGTAGTCTGACCTTCTGAGCGTGAATATCATATTTGCTCGGCTCGAAACTTTCTGGCGCCCGCGCTACAGGCGCTGGCGCCAAAATATCCCAAATCACCGGCGCCTGTGGCGCGGGCGCCAAAAGGTTTCGGGCTAAGCAGATGTGATATTCGTATTCAGGCAGGTCAAACTACCCCTACTAGAACATTTGAGCCAAATCTGTCCACGGAGAAAAAAGTCGGTCAAAAACTGGCTCGATTCTGGATGTTTGGGCAGTGAAGGGTAAATAGTGCCAGAAATTCTCCTTAGCTACTCTGAATACTGCTACCATATAAGTGAAGGGGGGCAACTGTGTCAGATAGATATTTTCTACACCACCGCCTGCAAACAAAGTAAGCCACAGATGAAGAACAAGCCGCACGACTAATAGCATATCCAGCCATAACCAGAGTCCCTCAAATTTGGTCGCCTTCGAGTCGAGCAGCCCAACGTGTTAGCAGCAAGGTGCGACCACTTTCATATGCATGCCACGTGTTGCGAATAGTAGGTGGAGACACAAGTCAACGTCCGTTCATCGCAAGCCTTCACTTCACTCTCACGCCCTTCCAAATGGCGAGTGTGGTATCCTCCTTGAGCCACGAATCTTCTCACCTGACCCATTCACAAGATCATCTCCACAGGTAAGGAGTATAGTGTGCCTTTAAGAGCATAAGTGTGAATACTATAGTAAGAAAAGGTTACCCACATCGGTGTTTTCCTTGAACGCTGGCGAGAGCGGATTCTTGGACAGATTGAACCTCACATATAGAGCTGCAAGCTGACTGAAAAAGAATGCGCTGAATTGCATCGTTGAGATCCAAAATAGCAGGTTTGACGCGATGACGTTTTCCTTTGATTGGAACTTCAGAGAGAGTGGCATCCTGAAACCACTTCGCATTTATCTGGGCTCTGAGAGGAAGAGTCATATCTGCTTTCAAAGGCTCGGATGTGGCTTACCTCCGAAAATTGCAATCTCAATCCTAAGCCTTATTCGAGTCATATTTGTTTGTCATTAGGTTGGCTAATAAGTAATGGCGGTTTTTTCAATTGAAAAATTTGTTCGAAAAAAACGTTTTGCAAGCAAGTTATATATCATCTGATAGGAAACTTCTCGTAGTATAAGAATATCAAAAAAGCTTTGGTTGAGGATATAGTTTTTGTGAATTTTTAGTCGTTGAAGTTGGAAGTGAAGTCGCCGAAAATTAGCACCTTCGACAACTGCCTCTATTTAGAAATTTCATGCTAATAGTTGAATTAATTGAATATGAATTTGATATTCTAATACTACGAGAAATTTGCTATTAAACGATATTAAGCTTGCTTGCAAAACTTTTCACTTTTGGAACAAATTTTTCAATTGAAAAAACGGCCATTACTTATTAGCCAGCCCACTAGCAGTGGGCTGGCTAATAAGTAATGGCGGTTTTTTTCAATCGAAAAATTTGTTTAAAAGTGAAAAGTTTTGCAAGCAAGCTTAATATCGTTTAATAGCAAATTTCTCGTAGTATTAGAATATCAAATTCATATTCAATTAATTCAACTATTAGCATGAAATTTCAGGTGGAACAGACGTGAGCCTGCCCAATATTGGCAAGGTGAAGGTTGCCAACTTTGAAATTCTTGAAATTAGTTCCAAAGCGTCCTATTGAGATTCCCTTGCTGAGAAACTTTTTACCTCAACCTTTTACGAATGTATGGAGAGCTAAGGGTTTTAGACTTCGAGTAGGACGTAATAGAGCAGCTGTCAGGTTGGCTGATTTTCAGCCGACTTCAACGACAAATTAATTCACAAAAACTATATCCTCAACCAAAGCTTTTTTGATATTCTTACTACGAGAAGTTTCCTATCAGATGATATATAACTTGCTTGCAAAACGTTTCACTTTTCGAACAAATTTTTCAATTGAAAAAAAACCGCCATTACTTATTAGCCAACCTAATAAAAAACGTCTAAATCCAATATTTAACTTATGTTGACTGGTCTTTGAACGCCTGATCCTAAGCTCAGTGAGTCCCGGCCTCTCAGGGGTCCAGCAAGGGTTTTTGCATTTGTTCCAAATTCCGAGACTCACCGTATCTGCAATTTCGGTCTAACAAAGCGCAATGCGATCGTCAGAGCAAAGCCGGTGAAGTTCGTAGCTAACAATACGAATATTAACGTATTCCCTCGAAGAAATATGGTGCTCGGGAGCACTCGAGCATTGATCTGTGGCTCGTCGAATGTCTCACCCCAATACAGAAAAACACAGGTACCAATGGTGATCACAACCTAAATAGGAACCTTTGACGCAGTTTCAATTGGAACATGTAATCTTCAAGCACTCACAGCAGCTACTATCAATGCTGGTCCAAGTTTCCTATATCCTTTCTCATAGTTACTAAGAAAAACGACAGCTACCCATCGCTCAGCCACAATCGAAACGAGCATAAGCTGTGCCGAGATGCACGACATGGAGCCTTCAGCCGAAATATTCATCGTAAAATAGAGGACCTTGGGTAAAATCAGATCACATGGTGTCGCATGTACGAATGATAATGTCAAATGGTGAGCCTGAAAATCTCGCTGTACTTAAACGAAGTCGACGTTCCTGTGTAACTTACTGAAAGCCATGTCACAAAACAGCACATGTTTCTCAAGTGTCAGCGGTGAATTGTCACGTGTAATACAAAATCGAGTGAGGTTCTCGGGATCTAATTCAACCCAGCAAGGTTCCGCCTCATTCTCTTTGATACGCACAACTGTGGAAGCATAAGAATGTGAGCCTGGATAGATTATCCTGTGGTCGCCCACCTACAAGGCGCAGTTTCGGGGTGGAGGTTCTCGCACTACAAGAAGACCTTCAGAGTCTCGTCTGACTTCCGCACTGATTTCAGTTAGTTGGTCTGCTACGCTTTGATTGTCGTGAGGGGTCTATTGGTTCAATCAGAATAAGGTGATTTTCAGCTGATGTAAGTCAGTTTCAATTCCGATACTTATAAATAATCTTCTGGTCGCGTATGAGAAGAGGAACCGTGCACCTTGCCGACAACTTTCGTACTAGGCCACAGAAGGAGGCAGCTTAAAGGCACATGGACGATAATTTAGTACTTGCTCGAAAATATCAACACGGTGCTACATAGTGGGGGGAATGACGAAAAAGCGTAGTTAAGCGGCCGAAGAGCTGCGAAAAAACTCCTTCGTTCTGGCACTGGACGAGCATTTTTGGACGAGTTCCCCGTCGACATTGTATTAACGACCGCCTCAGTAACGACTGCACGTAAGTATTCTTACTCCCTGGCAGCAATGCTTTCACCTGTATCACCTGTGCTCCCGTTGATCATCGAGTTCCTCGAGCGGGCGCCAGTAACGTCTCCATTCGTCCCTGCAACGTGCAAGAGTTGCCCAATGAACTCTCTCTGCTCGAGGGACACGATGAACTTCATACCATTCGTTCAGAGCTTTCACGAAGAAGTCTGACCATCGCATAGGCGGTCGTCCAGGCGTTCGCTTGACATCCCGTGGAATCCAGTCGGTGATCGCTCTGGTCCAGCGGTCGTCCTCGAAACGCATGACGTGCCCGGCCCACCTGATCTTCGAATTGGCAAATACGGCGGCGTCTGATCTTCGATCGTCTGCGGAGTGCGGAGCTCCGGATTCCCTCTCTCACTTGCGTGTAGCGGGAAACTCCGAGCATCGCCCTTTGAATAACGCCAACCGCATGCTCATCCTGCTTTCGTAGAGTCCAAGTCTCTGAGGCGTACGTCAAGGCAGGAAGCGGAATCGAAGAGGTGGGCACGGAGCTTGGTGTTCTTCGTCTTCTTCGCTACTCCCTCGATGTTCTTGAAGGCTCCCCAAGCCGCTCGCTTCCTCCTGCTCAGCTCTGGAGCTAAGTCATTCATCATATTGATTTCACGACCCAGGTACACATAGCTAGAGCATTCAGAGATGGTCGTTCCGTTGAGCGTGAATGGGGCATCAGAAACCAATCCGTTTCTCATGAACATCGTCTTCGTTAGATTCAGCCGTAGACCGATTTTTCCACACGCGCAGTCGAATTCAGCCAGCATTCGTTCCGCTTGCTCGATGTTTGGTGTTATCAAAACGATGTCGTCAGCAAAGCGGAGATGGTGTAGTTGCCGACCGTCGATCTTCACTCCCATGTCTTCCCATTCCAGTTGACGCATGACGTTCTCGAGAGAGGCGCTGAAGAGCTTGGGCGAGATGGTGTCGCCCTGTCGGACCCCTCTCTTCACATCAATGATGATCTCCTTGTAGAATGGTGAATCTTGGTCGTGAAGTTGCTGTAGAGCTCACGAAGAATCCTGATGTACTGAGTAGGAATACCCTGGTTGCCCAGGGCTTCGATAACCGCTTCTGTCTCAACGGAGTCGAAGGCTTTCTTCAAGTCGATGAACGTGAGACATAGCGGCATCTTGTACTCTCGCGATACTTCGATGAGCTTCGTTACCGTGTGGATGTGATCGATCGTGCTGAATCCTCTTCGAAACCCTGCTTGCTCGCATGGCTGTCCTTCGTCTAGTGTTCTGCCAATCCTGTTCAGGATGACTCGTGTGAAGAGTTTGTAGACTACAGACAGCAGGCAGATTGGGCGATAATTGCCAATGTCGTACAGGTCTCCCTTCTTGTACAGCAACACAGTCTTGCTGGTTTTCCACGAGGTGGGTACCTTGCATTCCGACAGGTAGCGCGTGAAGAGTCGAGCCAGAGTTTTGACAAGAACTGGCGGAAGATTCTTCAGATGTTCGGGTCTGATCCTGTCGGGACCGGGTGCCGTACGATTCTTCACCGACGAGATGGCGTGTCGGACTTCGGAAGGGAGAACTGCAGGAACGACATATCCATCCTGCTCCAAGCGGTATGGTTGCAGGTGGACGTGGCTGTCAAAGAGATCCGAGTAGAAGTCGTGGATGACCTTCTCCATTGCCCTTCTGGATGCGGTGATTGTTCCATCCGGACGTCGGAGGGCGGTCATCTTGGTCTTACAGTTGGCGAAGTCGCGGCGGGCGTTGCGTATGCTCTTCCCAGCCTCTGCGGCTTCCACCAGTACTGCTGCTCTTCTCTCCTTGAGGTCTTCCTTTATCGCTTCTCTGCATAGCTTCGCAAGCTCAGACGTCAGCTGGTAATTGCCTGCGGCTCGTGCGGCTCCACGTTGGCGAATCAGCTCGAGAGTTTCCAGAGATAGACGCTTCTTGGTAATCTTGGAACTCTCTGACTTCTTGGCGCAGTCGTGAAGGTGTGCGACAAGCCGTTCGTATTCCTCGTCGATGTTGTCGATGATGGAATCCTCCCAGAGCCCAGCGAGAGAAGTGAAGTGATCCCAGTTGATGGTGGTCTTGGGGCTTCGCTTCTTGAACTTTGCGGCTCTCTCTCCTCGCATCGAAAAGCGGAATCTTGCGCGAAGGAGACGGTGGTCGGATCCCGTGTAGAACTTAGGGAACAACAGCGACATCGGTCAGGCAAAACCTTCGATTGAAGATGTGGTCGATCTCGTTATGGAATTGTCCACCAGGAGACTCCCATGTCCAGCGTAGAGAGTAGGGCTTCTGGAACTGCGAGTTACCATGGATGGTATGGGTCGACATGATAAACTCAGACAGCCTTTCACCCTGCTCATTCCACTCCGTTCCGTGAGTTCCGATGTGAAGTTCTTCAGCCGTTCTTCTTGGTCCGATCTTAGCGTTGAAATCACCGACGATGACCTTGAAGAAGGTATGATCTTCCTTGTAGAACTTCTCCAATTCCATATAGAACGCTTCGAGCTCATCCTCGTCGTAGCTTGATGTTGGTGCGTAGGCGACGAAGATTGTCAAAGCCGGAGTTGAACCACATCTTCTCAATCGCAAACGTCCGATTCGGGTCGTCAGACTTTCGTACGAATCGATGTTCATGGCCAAGTGCGTGTTGACGAGGACGCCCACACCGCCAACGCCTCTGCTGTCGCATGTTCCGAGGAACAGTTCTTCTCCAGTCTCGTATACGGCGTGTAGCGGGCGATGCCTCCTCGTCTCGGTCAGTCCGATGACGTACTTGATCTTCCTGGCTTGCAACATCAGATCTTCGATGTGAGCTTCCGATGCAAGCGTCCGTGCGTTGAAAGTACAGATCGTCATCCTAGTCCTGGGCGACTTAAAACGTAGTACGCTCACAATTGAAGGTGTATGTGGCTAGCAGCCCCCAGCTGCCGAAGCATACGAGTATGATCCTTTTCGTCACAGCCAACCGTTGGAGTTGGGAGCGGGTGTACCGAGATCCTTCTTAAAGACACATAGTACGCTCACACACATTGAGGGTGTATGAGACTATCAGCCCCCCAGCTGTCGATGTGTCGTGGTCCCCCAAACATGCCCAGGAATGGAGATACAGGACCGTGAAACACGCTAGTTCTCCATGCTCCGCCCAATGCCTTTTTGCGGCGCAGATTCCCGTCCTTCATAACATCCGTCGTAAGCGCGCGTGTCGCGTGCGGCTCCTTGGCACTTTGCCAAGTCCTTTAATTGCGCTTTCAAATACAAGTAAAACGCAATTTCCTGATGCGGATAACATTGGAGGTGCTGCAAAATAAGAACAGAAGATGATGACGAGGGTCAGAACTTAAAAGCAACTGTGCCACTTCTGCAACATCCCTCGGAGGCCGCGTATTTCCACGAAACATGAAAATAAAAACGGCATACTCGTTAGTTTAATACAAGCAAAACGCAATTTCCTGATGCGAATAAAATTTTAGGTGTTGCTCATGCTTCAAAATCCATGTACAAGGAGATGAAGATGACACAGGCTAGAAATGAAGCACAACGATGTAAATGTAAATAAAACAAAAATGAAAAAATCAAGGAAAGGCAAATTAGTTGAAATCGCCTGTAAATTTCTACGATCCGGCGCGAATCCGGCGCCAAAGCCATAGAAATACTTAGAACAACGAGTGGGACTGGTCTGTTTATTGATGTTTTTATGAATGCGCGGCCTCTGATCGGATCTGCAGATTGCAGCCGGAGTTTTATGAGATCTGCCTACGTCGTCATTTTTTTCTTAGTTGGAGAACTCCAATGTTATGCCGATCAGGAAATGCGTTTGAATATGTTCTTGAGACGTGGCAATTAAAGATTGCAAAGTCAATGGGCCGCATCGCGACAGGGCGCGCGACGAGTGGGTAGGAGTGTGCGCGCGCAGAAATAGAATGGAGGCGCATAATTATTACTTTTCGTGAGAAGAGATTGAAGCCGACGCTAGTTGACAGACTGCTGAAGTGGCACGCGCTGGGTACGGGAAGCATGGGGGGGTGGGGCGCGGTCCACACCACGTTGAAGCTGCGGGTGGGAGTTGTGGGGGAGCAATTCTTTGAGAAATTTATATCAAGCAATGCTTCATATCTATTTATATGTCAAGGTCCCTGGGATTCCTGGCACGTCAGTTCGAGGCAGTCTGAAGACCTGAAAAGAAGATTGAAAGTGGGGTTCGCTGTGAAGTGTGGGCTATTT